GATAATTTCATTTAATTTTTCTTTAAACGGTTCCACTAAATCAGCTTTGGAGGACAGTTTTTCGCCAGATTCTTTTAAAATTCGGATCCCAAACCGTTTTTTAAATTTAYMAAACCAACCATTACTTGCCTTAAAATTTTCATTAGGATATTTTATATTATGGATTTGCACAGCTTTGGCTTTTAAAATATTGCTGTTAATAGGTACGTGCTTTTCGCGCTGGGAGACAAACCACTTATATAAAGCCTTTTMMATCCTATGATATTCGCCTTTCTTTAACGATTGTCGTCTCAATGTGCCAGCATGTGTACCTTTAACACTTCTTATTACTTTCTGGCAATTTTTTAAAATTGTGCAAACACTCGATTTTGGAATACCATATTTCAAAGAGATTTMTTTCAGGGTTTTCYCCTTTTTATTGTCGTCAATTATTTTTMATTTGTCACCCAAGCAAAGCMGTTTTCGAATTGAAGGCATTTTTAAATAATTTATGCGATATCCTCACTTTACCACTTTGAACTCACAACTGATATTTCGCGCAATGAAGCGTGCATAAAAAAATAAATAGAATTCTTCAAAAAAATAGCTCAATAATAACAAAAACTAACGGGTATTTAACTGCCTGCATTGTTTTTTGTTGTAATACAACCAAAACCAAATACAAACGCCATACATTCGTAATATCGAGTTCATCCAATTTCCAGCTTTCGTTATATAGAGTCATCAATGTATTGAAAAACAGCGTTCGTTATATTGAACATTCGTTATATCGGCGTTCGTTATACTGGAGCACCACTGTATATAAATATTCAAGATAACGAGAGGGGTTAAAACCCGGATGACTGTCTGTCCGTCCGTTCGAACGCGCAAGCTTTAACTTGAGTAAAAATTAAGATATATTGATTAAACTTAGTACACATGTTCCTTGGCAAAAAAGTACATTGTCACGCCCCAAAGCACCATTAAACGAAAATCTATAAAGTGCTATAACTAATCACTAAAATAAGGCCTTTAGCAGTAATTTGGCACAAAGAATTGCAATAAAAAGGAGCACCTGTGGATTGAAAATTATGAAAAATTGGACGTGGCTTTCTCTGTAATAGGTTTAATGTACATTTCTTCTAGACCACCGAAGCTGCAAAGCCAAATTCATTAGGACTACTTCCGACAGTGTGAAAATATTCCCATATAACGGTACTGTTAAAAACTATTAACTGAGTAATAAATCAATAACTTAAAACGTCAGAGCTATTAAATTTTACGCCCAAAATGGTATGAGAAGGCTTTATACGAGCCAGTGTAAAAATTAGACAATGGACGTGAAACCACCCAATTTTAGATAAAATGACATATCTCAGCACCTGCTCTACCGATTTCAACAAAGTTCGGTACGTAGCATTCTCCAAACATTCTTATGTGTCACTGAAAATGGACGAAATCGCACTGCAACTGCTTCCACTTCCTACATAACACAATTTTAAATTACATCTGAATATAACAGGAAAAAACTTTGAACGAATAATGCATATATCGTATGCCATTTTATGACCATAAATTGCCCAAATCCAAGTAAAACTGTTTAAGCCTCCCGGTACCGAATATTTGGAACCCAGTACCAATAGTTGAACTGTTAAATCTGGTATGTCTGTGTGTCAAAAATGGGTTGAATCGTGTCAATACTTCCCTTAGCTTCAAAATAGCTAAAGTTTCGCGGTTTTCGAACTTCCGAGTGACTTCTTACAACATATATCGGCCAACATGTGAGTTACCTCAATGAAAAGGAGAGAACGTATTTTAATGATCATAAGCTCAATTGCCCCTTTATAAGAAACATATAATACCCGGATGACTTTACTCCACATGACACTACATAGGTATAATTATTTTCAGGTTTCTAAAGGTATGTATCTGGTATCTTTAAAAATTACATGACACTGGTTGGCGGATATATTGTAACAACAACAAACAAAGATCTCAAGACCTGACCTTTAATTCGGCTTTGGGTTCACATCTGAATGAAGCTTCAGTATGAATCTCTAATTTTCCCACAGAATATCTTTAATTTCTGGAACATCCGTGGTAACGTGACCTTGATTTCTTACTGGCGGAAGATTAACTTTCCTTTTTATACCCACCATGCCATTCAATTCGTCACTTAATTAACTCGTTTGCAACATTGCCATATACATACATTTCTTCACACATTTCCGTTCTCGCATAACGCAGACCTCGTTTGCTATGCGACAATGGTAACGAAACATATAAGATTACTATCAATATTTGTAGTGTAAATTTTTTTTACACTTAAGCGAGAAAATCGATTGAAGCTCATTACATTCTCAAGCTGACGACATTAAGTTTACGCATGCGCAGTGCTATTATTGTGCGTGACAGCAGTGAGGCTGTGCGAGGCACACAAAGTTGTCATACACGCAAACACAAAGGAAGAAGGCGGCGTGCACTTGCAAAAAAGGCAGCAAGCATGAGAGAAGTGATGACGGTCAACAAACTACAACCAGGAGATAAATACAGAATTTATGACTTAATTTAACTCGAACGTCGACGAGGACAGGCTGGAAACAGAGCGGACTACCAGAAAAATAAAAAGTAGTAAGAGCAAAAGCAAACACAAATATAGCGCGCACAGGCTTTTAGCGACCGCTGCGGCGATATTGAATGAGAATGAAGCCAATAACCGAACAAATGAAAGATTTCGAGTACGGCAACCACAGGCGGCAGGAGCCTAAGCTGTACCGGATAGTGACAAAAAGCCCGAACGGAAACTGACTAGGGAAGCGCGTACAACAGCGCGGAAGCGCAAGAGGCACATTTGAGTATGTATCTATGTATATGTATGCCCAAAAATGGGCGATTGAACGGGCGGACACGTTTACATTGGACGGCAACTACGTTTTTGCGTGTAATTCTCGAAAGGACGCGTGTCCATTCATATATTTGCGACACTCAAAAAAAGAAGCAAACACTCACACAGAACGCGTTGATGGACAAACGCACGGATGGATGGCAGACAAACCGTCAGCGCTGCCGGGGAGTATGAAGGTTGATGTCTCTATTTGGAGATGCCATGCAGGCGCTCGTTCGCCAAGTTGTTGCCAACTGTACGCGCTGACTGTCACTTCAAGCAAATGTACATACTCATAGCCGGTGTTGTTGCGCTCCAGATGCTTGCTGTGTAAGTGCGAATGCGAGTGCGAATTAATTTATCGGTTAATTTTGTTCACAAATTGCACATGGGCGGCGCGGATAGCCTACAATAACTATCTATCTTCTCCGTGTCCAGGTTTGCCGTTGGCTGTTGCATCTACTACCATAACGATAGCCATTGCCAACGCCATTACAATCAACGCCACAGCATGGCAGTCTCGGCGAGTATGCGCACATTCCATAAACGCATCAGCATTTGGTGCGCATTTTCCGCGGTTACGCTTGCAACGCCTCAGCCCAGGCGCACTCCATTCACAGTGCGGTTGTTTGTTGCGTTGCTCTACCAAGTGGTGAATTTATGCGCGTCATGTGTATGAAATAAATTTTATAGCGAATTACTGGAGCATTGCAGTTATAACAACAACAAACATTATTTAACGGCGCAGCAATCAATGCATATTGACGCTGTTTCCACCGAATGTATGAATGGAAGGCACATGTGCGCGCTCTACACACTACTTCGACAACAATGTTGGACCGCGTTCTGAGTATGCGTATATTAGAAACTGTGCGCATAACTGTGGCTTATTAAAATGCATTTCGTGAGCCTGTTTTGCTTTGTAAGCACTGTGATCGCTTCCGGCTTTTGTGCTACTATAATATTAGTGTTGTAAAATACTCGTTTTTGCTTATACGTTGCATTTACCCGTCTATAGGTAAGCAGAGTAACCACATTTTCACTGCAATGACGACTAACCAGTTTGAAGGGAAAGGTAAGATTCGGTACAGCAAATAATACTATAAAGATGGCTGTGTACGGTCAGCGAATGCTGTCATGTACACCCTGCAAAATTATATCCATCCGAGTCGTCTATATTGGGGTAAACACTCTAACCCCAATATAGAAAAAATCACACCTTTTGCCATCGAGGGATCCGAGTTGTGTCAACAACTTTCCCAATTCTCGAAGAGAAACAGTCATGATTTGTAAAATTCTCTGTCAATGCGAAACCGAAATAAATATCTAAAAACCGTCCTGGTATAATTTTCATAAAAAATTTGTCTAGACTGCACAGTATTTATTGGAGTGAATTTCTTTTTATGAATTTTACGGTCGTAAGTCGTTGTATATTGACTTACGAAAATTCATAAAAAGCGAATCTTTCCAATAAATAAAAGATAAACGATATTTTTTTTTTCTAAGTTTTATCCATGACAGCAGGAGTAGAGGACCTTATTCTAGCATCATCAGAGGTCACATATAACTTTAAAAATATTTAATATTTTATTTCAACAATTTCCAGAATATTTCTAAAATATCTGAACTAGAAATATGCGCTGATTTTTTTTTAAACAATTGATCAAATAGGCTTCTTTTGAACAACGGAATATGTCATAATTAAAAAAAATCGTTTTTAAGGGGGTGGTTTAAAGTTTTCAATTGTCTCTTGTTTGACAAATATTGAAGAACACCATAGGTTTATTGAATAAACTAGTGGCATGTGCTATATTAAACCAACTACTACTAAAGCTTTTTCTTAGACATAAACGTTTTCCACTTGGAATTATGACGTTATTTGCGAAATTTTATGTGTCGTTATTGCTGAAAAGGGATGTCGTGAAAAACTT